GCCCGGACCATGAATGTGTTGTAGTGCGGCTATCCCCCCTCCTCCCTCCCTGAGTCCCTGGAACGTATCGAGAAGAGTAAGTATTATACATTATTTGCAATTATATTCACCATGGATGTTATTAGCTTTTGATTTCAGCTATTTACACATCGCAGTTCCACTCCTATGTCTATCTGTCGCTTGCTGATGTCCTCGATCTGTTGTCGTTAATAAATTGCTACGTAGCATTCCTTGTATACATCTGTACATGCTCACGTTATCGTCAGACGCTGCTTTCAATCCTGCCAAATATGCCGTAAGTTACTGATTACTGTGAAAGATGTCCTTTAGCTATTCCAAAGAGGATGAAAATCTTTTTTTTTTCTGACGTTGATGAATCCCGTACTGGGTTGTGCCCCCGATTTGACCTTCATTTGAAATTGTACCTAACGTTTGAAAGCTTATTTGCTCTTTAGAATGACCTGTCAGACCGAGCGATGTTCCTTCCAAGCGGATCTTATCCAAGAAGAATACAAACAGAAACGAAAATTCAATACGGGCACTCGGTTCCTACAGTAATCCGGCGTGGCATAACCCCGTTTTGATACGCAAATATTTACCCGTCACATCCACGACATGGACACGGGGCAAGTGGTGACAAAGGTAAGGGGTTACCGTAAGCCAGAGGTTAGTGTAAGCCAGGGTCACTGTAGGTCCAGGGCTACTGTAAGCCAGGGTTTACTGTAAGCTCGGGGTTGCTGTAAGCAGGGGGTTACTGAAGCCCGGATGTTACCGTAGGAGCCGAGTGCCCGTACTGAATCTTCGTTTCTGTGGAATATAAAGCCTGACCATCCTTGATGAGTACCCATCCGGGATTTGTTCCCTTCACTACTTTTGCGATAGCGGCACTTCTCGGCGATATTCCACTGCCGCCTGAGTTATAGGAAATTTCAAAAGTTTAATCTTTTCCGCTCCGTAGGCAAATCCTAGCTAGGTTTGCGACAATGAACCAGCACTTTTCAAAAAGGAAGCAAAAGGTAACAGCGGCCACTATTTGGTTGCCTTGGGTCTCGCCACTCCATCCGGGTACCGTGAATTTTTAGGTTGTTGTTTTTGCTTTTGATGACTGTGAAATTTTCCTTACTGGAGTAATTTATTGAAAAATGTCAGATTTTTCAGTGCCATTCTTTCGCGTCATAGTTCACTGAAACGAGAAAAGTTATCGTATGCCACACTGGGTGTAGCAGGATGTTCACCGTTGAATGTCGTAGTGTCCCGCAGCGATGAAGATCAACTACTGTAAGAAAGAAGCGGAAATAATTGTGTAATCGCGTCCCGTTCTTATATCTCCATCGGTTTACATGAGATAGTCAATTCCGGAAGAGTGATGCACTTTATTCATGTATATTGATCGATTGTTGACTTCTATCTTACAGTATCATCGGTCGTGCAATTTGGTACATATTTATCGTTGTCAAAAATACAAATATCCCCTTTGTTTATATGCTCAAAGGATACTTGTGCACTGAATATTATGTTTTATTTCAAGTTTCGTATGTATATGCATATTTAAATAAAGATTTATTTTGTATGTTATAAGTCTGAAACATTGGTCTTTGCAACCAGATGAATTCATTAGATGATCATCAAAAATAAATTAGTTCGATCTCAAAAAGGAGTACATAGCAGCTATGTCCTTTTTTGGGAGTCTGTAAAGGTGGCATCTATTCAAGTATTCGAGATTCCTAGCTAGTTGTCTCGCCGAGCACTTATCTTGGTTAGTTTTTCCTTGGACGTCTGACTATAGATAAGAGTTTCAAGATTCCCAGCAGACTACTAAAATATGGCATTCGACTTGAATGTCCTGCTTTTGGGTTCGTTTGTATCCCTTTGAATGGGTTGGTAGAGAGGATTAAGATTAGTTTACAAGAAAGAGGGTTGACCGGTCTACTTTTGCTGCTGGATATCGTGCCCCTGTCCAGGAATAGAGTTTTTATAAGATTCCAGAGATGACCACGCCAATATCACTTGAGAAATGCAGTTATTTGCTACTTACCATTTCCTGACACATGTTGCTGTGCAGCGACAGAAAACTCGTCCAATTACATTCGTTCTCCTGATCTCGTATAACCTACATACTACCCCGTCCAAAAGTTATTATTCGATAAAAGCTTTTCATCGACAAGTTTCTGCTGTTTTCTCCATTTTTTCGCAAACGGTAAACTTTCATGCAGCTAAACACTTCCACTTTATATAACCCATAAAAAAGTACAGAAGATCATCGCGTTCTGCGCTTGTCATTGTAGGTCTCTTGGATGATTACCAAGTTGTTAAAGGTACTGAACGCTCACTGAACGCTTATGTTGAGCCTAGGCTAGACATTCACCCAGCACCTTTCTAAAAGCGTGCAAGAAGACGGAACCACATAGGAATGGAAGGTACGAAGGAAAAAACGCTTCATTCAGAAAACTTCGGACCCACGGCGAATGGGTTAACAGCTCAGTTGAAGAAGGCTATTCCACATTGGGCGGAGCGTTCCTGAGTTGGCGATACTTTTTGCATGAATTCACCACAATCCACCCCAGGCTGTAGGCCAGTATCTTGAAGAGTGCAGCTCAGATCGAATAGTGCATGACTCCGACAAATGTGTTCTTTGTTATAACCCGAGAAAAACTGGTGGTAACAATAAAACTTTATTCTTTATCATTTAACGAATACTTTAAATCATCACAGATGCAATTATCATTGTCAATGAACCGATGATCATTGCCGTCAACATAAGATAAGATGAAGATTTGGTCGTGCTGTTCCCCTTGGCCGATCCTTGGGCTTCACTGTCAGGCGACGGATGATCGTTCCTGGAAATAACACAAAATGCTCATGGGGTGAGTAATTTTGCGAATTTTCAAAAACCACGGGATTGCTGAGCCATTACTCATTATCCATTACTGATGCAATCTGACAGTGTGCCAAGTCATGATGGAAGTCGAACTCGGATTGAAAAACCATAATAGGGGGTAGTAGGGTATGATTGTCACAGGAAGGATAATTAGAGTAACTGAAAGGGAGAACATAGGTACCGGATAAGGAACAGAGGAAAGGTGGACTCGGTGAAGCAGCAGAAAGGGAGCCCAGAAAGAGCCTTTCCCAGATAGTAGCTCTAGCATTTAGGATATTTCGGGCTTGGTATAAATATAGAGCCCTTCACTTCTATTCATTTTCGTTCGAGTAGCCTAAACAGCTGTGTAGTAACTGAATAAACTGCAGAGTGCTGAAAAGGTCTGACGGTTCCTGGATACGTGCCTTTAGCCTTATGATCGTACTCTGTGCGAAATATCATGAATAATGAACGCAATTGAGTTGCTCAGGTAGTAATTAAGAGACAAACGATGGGCGGGACAACTAACTAGGAAATGCCGCGCGTCGTGGGCGCGCGACGTCGGCGACTCCTTTACACCCCGAATAATCGAGTTCCGCCCACCCTCTTGCATTCTACCTACCTGGCCAAATCCATGTAGCCAATGATTACTATGTAGTCGGGCTTAAGAAGACGATCTGGACTGTGGGGCAGACTTACCTCCGAACCTTCTCAGAATAGGTTGACTCACTTGAATAAATCAATTTGCATCGACGATTCCCATCCGTTCAGCGGGTCATTTTGAGAGTAGTACATAGTTACGACTTTCCCTGTGGATTGTTTGATTACAAACCTTGAGGAGTTTGTTGATTGCTGCGTTTGAGGCACTTCACCGTCGCCAATTTGAAGCGATACGGTCTTTGTTACTATGACATCGTGAGGGGCCGCTTTCGTTGTCAAAAGCTCAGCCGCTTCCTCAAGTATCGTCGTTGGAATGCTTTCTGCTGAGTCGGCATCTGTCTCGCTAAAAGAATGTTGAAGGAAAGGAGGAACAAAGTGGAAGGTAGGTAAATCTTAACAGAAAGAACAGAAATATAGAAGTAACAGGATCGACAAGCATGCTGGGGAAGGGAACATGCAGGGAATCACCTTTTCTGATTAAAGGCACAGTTCACGATAGGTCCCCTCTATGATGAACCTGTGGTTCCCAAGGATACCACGTGGGACATTGCTAAGCCGAAAAACGTCTTCGAGAAGACGTCATAAGGGTTCCAAAACCGGCTTTGTTCACGTACACACCCAAAAGTGGCCCTGTTATGACGGTTTTGTAGAGGCTGCACCATTCACAATAAAGCGCTAATACGCTGACGAATAGTACGCTCATCTGAGAGACACTCAGACGGTTACAGATGCATAATTTTGTATTCCAAACTCACTAGTTTTCTAAGGCCTTACATTTCTTGGAATCCGCCGATTTTCTTGCTTTGTTGGCCACTATTTTTGCACTACTCTGCTCACTAATTTCCATGGTTTGTCGTGAACTGTGCCTCCAAACTTCATCCCAAAGTAATTTAAGTGAGGTAAGAGCGAAAAAATGTACTCTACAGCTGATGCTTTCCATAGATACCTAGATTTTCAAACCGTTTCTATTCAAAGGTAACTCAACGAGTATAGGGCTTCCAGTTTCGGCATAAGTGTGCTCCCAAATAATTTTGCAGCTTATATTATTTTATAGACAACATCTACAAAATATTTTCTCTCTATTCAACTTGAGCAAACGAAAATTCTAACTCACTTTGGTTGCGCGACGTCTCCTCCATTTATTAGAGATGTGTCAGGTTTCATACCTGAAGTGTCGGTATCTATAACATGTTCAGTTCGCAATATTTAGTTTATATGTAGCAAAGTTATTTATTTATTTACCTATTTAGTTATTTGTTTATTAAAGCGTGCCATTTCACGCGGATACGTGAGTGTGATGTACATATATTGGATCAACTGGTTCCTACGAAAATGACCGATTACTTTTTCTATTTTGGAAATAGTACACTGTAGCCAAGTACTCCATTGGGTCTCCTAATCCCTCTTGATTCTTCAGTGGGACTGCGCTGTGACTGCGCGCTTACTAGACTAGCCGAATCCAGCGCATAAGTTGAGGGTTTGGTCAATGGTCTTTACATGCTTCGGAAACTAAAACCATCTGAGAACTGACCAATGGGACTAGCCCCAGAGTCCTGGT